CGAACGAACGAACGAAGGGACGAAGCCATTACGCGCCAAAGTCCGAAAGAAAAGAAAAAATAAGCAGAGTGATAGATCGATGAATTTCCTACCTCGCGTATATTCAACGAAAGTACCGGACGAGGAACAATGGCCGTTGGTCACGGTTAGCTTCCAAGTCGAGACGTTGCACCGGGCCATCCCCCCCCCTAGGATGGTACCCTAACTAGTAGAGGTTTTCAGTCTCCGGCAGGGTTCAAAGGGACGTTGCGATCGATGCGCAACTTGTCGAGAATTCCCAGTAGTCCCCGGGGGGAGGTTCCTTCTGTGTGTGTCCCGGGCTATCGGCTAAGAGCCAACGTATCGGTCCACCGGCAAAGTTTTCTTCATTTTTAACAACACCGGGAGAAACAGAAGAAACGCATTTCGAAAGTTGGAAGCGTCTTTCGGTGCTCGCTTACGGACCGCTCTCGGGAAGTCGAGAGGACCACGGAAAAGAGAATTTCTTGGCGAAAGAGCGGCCCGTCGAGCGATTTATCGACGCGTGCTCGCCGTCAGCAGAGTAACCCGATCGCAACGGCGCAAAGATCCGAAAGCTTTCGAAGCCGGCGTAGTTTTCCCCCGATTATCCGCTACGACGATGTAAATTGCCTTGACATTACGCCGGAAATTTAGCCCCCTAGCTGGCTCGCAAGTTTATCCAATATCGTCGAAGGAACGAGGGATTGAAGTTGCCAGGAGCTCGGTTACCGAGCACGACTGAGCGGCGCGCTCTCGCCGAGACTCGAAAATTGCCTTCGTTAGTTACCCGACCACTCTTTCGAGGGCCCCTTTAAAATAATAAGACTTGCAAAATTCGCCACGGTGCATGACCCAGTCGCGTTCCGCTTACATAATGCGCAAGAATCGTTCGCCCGCCATTGTTTCGCGACGAATATCCATCCAGCCAGGCGAAATTGCAGAAACGCGCGTGTCTTTCACGCTGCAGCGTTCGGTCACGTCGTCAGACACGAATCTCTGGGTTTTTCAAAGAGGTTGACGAGAATTATGGAGAATCAAGGTTAAAACGCAAATACACTGACCCATTTGGCTCGTTTGGCGCGGCTCCAAGCGGTATGCGGCCGGGTTAATTTTTAATTGACTCGAAGCGAGAGAGAGAGAGAGGAACAGGGGCCCTGATGGGTTAAATCGAGAGAGCGGCCAGGATTTTCCGTGATTATTTTTACGACGCGATCGATGGTAATTTCAATCGGCGTCCGCTTCGTTTCTCCATGAACAGAGGTGGAGAATATTGCGAGTACATAACGGTTTCATCCTCTGGCTAGGCATTTAGAAACATTTTATTTCACTTAATTAACGACCGACAATCTTCACGGAGCGACAGTCTCCACGTCGTCGTATCGAAGCGAGATCGAGCTAACAGGCTAAACGCGATAGACGAACAAATGTACTCACCGTGAACTATCAGACTGATGACAGCCTCGGCCATGCTGCGGCTGTTCACCAAGCAAGTGTACTCGCCGGTGTCCTGCGCGGTGACCGGATGGAACTGGAGCGCGTAGTTCTTCAGCGACAACGACACCCTGTTCTGATGGTTCCACACGATGGTGGTGTTGCTGCTGTACTCGAGCAACTGCATGCTGTTAACCCGCCATTCCAGCATCAGTATCAGTGAATTCTCCGTCACACCCGGACAATTCAGCGTCACGTTCTTTCCGGCCTCGACGACCATCTCTCCAACCATGGAATCTGCAAACAGAGACGTTGTCCGTCGTTACATCCGTCACGTCATGGCTC